GCGTGAATACCATGTGTAGTTCCTGCGAATGACGAGGTCATACTCATTGGCCAAGTACACAGCTATATAGCCCAACAGCACTGATTTGCCAATGCCTGGAGTACCAGTGATGACAAACAACCCCCGCGGAGTTTCCAATTCAAACTTTTCTTTCAACCAGCCTGTGAGTATTGCACGTATCTGTACATAGCAAGTGCGCAAAACGAGGTCCTTTTGCATGTAGCCATCGCCCAGGATGTCTGTCTTGAAGCTGTATACAGAGTTGGCCTCCCAGTCTTTGGGTTTCTGTCCAAGTGCCTCCTCCATCCACTGGCAAAGTGGGTCTTCATCCTGAACGGATTCAGCCTCGTGTGCCATGAAATCAGCCCCCCAACCCAACAGCTACACTCAACCCACCAGCCTAGGACGAAAACAAAAGAACACCCAACCCCTAAACCCAACTAAGCAACCCAATCAACTAACCCAATCGGGAAACCCTACGAAGAAACCAAACCTAGGGGGGAATAAACCACTACGCTACAACCAAAGAGCCAACCCCTAAACCCAATAAGTAAGGTTATCAACTAAGGTTATCGGGGAAGCCTACGAAGCAAGGAAACATTTACTAGAAATAGGGAGTAAAATTTAAAGTGCTCTATGTTCATGTCCAGCCACCGGTGCTGGTTGCAACAGCTCTGGATGAATACGGTTGTAGAGTGATTGCGCTATAGCTATAACCATCATTGCATCGTCCAACTTCTTTCCGATAATCAATGTCAGATTGTCAACCGAAGCTTCTCGTAGATTCACGCGCGTGTATCCAGCCAGACTTTCGCACACCTTTGTGACGATATCTTCGGAGTATTCCATGGCTTCGAGCTCTCCCTTCACCCACTCGCAATGCTTGCCAGGCTCCACATCGGAGAGTCTTCGTTGTTTCGCTGCACGCTCCATTGCGTTAATGGGCCATGTCAAAACATCACAACAGGTGACACGAAATGCATCAGAGTGCATTTACACAAGACATATCTGCGAAAGGATTTTTTGCGTGAAAGGTTGCACACGGCACAAGCCAAAGGTTTCAACCATAGCTTACTATCACATGATATCTTGTTGAACAAAAAGTCGCTGAGGTTGAGAATGCATGATTGCGCATGCCAAATCTCACTTCAACTGATCTAGACTCGGTTTAGGGTTTAGGGTTTAGGGTGTGCGAAGATAGCATGAAGCCAGCGTTTAAGATGCATCTCACCTAGCCACTCACCTAAACTTGCAATACTTACTATTGAAGTTGAAACTGACGAACAACTTAAGTTACAAGTAGTAACACAACACACAACTGCAAGTTGCAAGTCGTAAAACAACTTACAACTCGAGTTGTGAAAACCACCACAACTTCAAAAACACAGGAAAAGCTACACCTTTAACAACTCAAAGCGTAAATACGCTCTATTGTTACCTTCAACATAATAATATTTTTGACCCAGCTTTTCATCAATTTTTTCTATGGTGTAAACATTTTGGCTAAAATTGCCCAC